GACAGAGAGAGACAGAGAGAGACAGAGAGAGACAGAGAGAGACAGAGAGAGACAGAGAGAGACAGAGAGAGACAGAGAGAGACAGAGAGAGACAGAGAGAGACAGAGAGAGACAGAGAGAGACAGAGAGAGACAGAGAGAGACAGAGAGAGACAGAGAGAGACAGAGAGAGACAGAGAGAGACAGAGAGAGACAGAGAGAGACAGAGAGAGACAGAGAGAGACAGAGAGAGACAGAGAGAGACAGAGAGAGACAGAGAGAGACAGAGAGAGACAGAGAGAGACAGAGAGAGACAGAGAGAGACAGAGAGAGACAGAGAGAGACAGAGAGAGACAGAGAGAGACAGAGAGAGACAGAGAGAGACAGAGAGAGACAGAGACAGAAAGCGAGAAATCACCCCCCAGGGGGGATGGGCACACCGCAATCCCTTCTCCATTCTCCTCTCGGGATCTTGGGCACGCACGCACACGCGCCCGGCGTGAGTTTTAAGCCACCGGGTCCAGGACACGAACCGCGGTCGACTACGTGGGAATCCAGCGACATAGCCATTACGCTAACTGCTGGTTCCCTAGGCTGTATTTTTTAAAGAGATTTTGCCTTAAGGTGCACGTGCTTCCTGTGGGGAGGGAGTGGGACAGACACAATCAATTAGAGGAAAGTGGGAATTTGCCCCCCGGGGTTGGCCAGCTGCAGTCCCTTCTCCATTGTCCTCCTGGGATCTTGGGCACGCGTGTACATGTACCCAGCATGTTGTTCAAGCCACCGGGTCTGGGACTTGAACTGTCAACCTCGTAGGAGTCCAGCAACGTAACCACTACGCCATCTGCTGGCCCCCCTGGGCTGTACCTCTTGAGGGAAGGAATGCCAAAGGATTTGTGGGTGTATTCTTTTTCTCTCTTGCTATAGGGTGTGTGTATACGTGAGAGGGGGGGAGAGAGAGATAGAGAGAGGAGAGAGAGAAGAGAGAGGAGAGAAGATGCTGCAATCCCTTTCCCTTCATACTTTCCCAGGATTTGGGACATGCACACATACCTGCCCGGCATGTTTTCCAAGCCACCGGGTCTGGGACTCCAACCACAGGGTTAGCCATGTGGGATCTAGCGCCACCACGCCACTGATGGCTCCTGTGGGCATGCACGTGCACACACACGTGTGTGTGTCTATAGAGATGTGTATTTTTTTCCCTTTGTTTTGGCTGTAGGGTATGTGCACTAGCCAGAGAGACAGAGAGAGGGAAAGTGAAAAAAATCACCCTTGAGGGATGGCCACATCACAATCCCTCCTCCTCCATTCTGCGATTTTGGGCACACACATACATATGCCCAGAGTGATTTTCAAGCCAGCTGCCAGGTCTGGGACTCACTCTCGCTCCCTCCTGTGTCTCTCTGGCAAGTGCACGTGCCCTGCAGTGAAACTGAAGACAGAAACCCAAGACTCAGGCTTCTGCAGTTCTGGAGGCTGGAGGGAGCCCAGGTGCTGCCAGGGCTGCACCTGCAAGGGATCCTCTCCCAGCTGTGGGAGGGGCTGCAGTCCTGGTATTCCTCGGCACGCAGGCCCGACTCGTCTCTGCCTCCTGTCTCTGCGCACACCAGTCGTGGGGTTAGGGGCCTAGCTACTACCTGCCATGCCGGGTCCAGGTCAGGTCAGGTCCAAGGGCTGGGGTGTGGGCTCCCGTGTCTACCCTCTGCCCCTGCAACCGGCCGTGGCCTCCCCTTGGACTAAACCATGGTCGAGGGTCTGCGTGTGCTCTGAATGTGTCCCCCACCTGTGGTGGCTTTATACAGTCACATGCTGGCAGCTCTCCTGTTCCTTGGCCATACTGGTCAGGTTCCCACCTCGCTCATCAGAGCACGGTCCTCCACGTACACAGCGACAGAGCCGGTGCCTGTGCGTGCACTCCCAGAATCTCAACAGGAGAACGAAGGGACTGTGGCGTGGCCTCTCACAGCCCTATGGCAAACTCCTAAAAAACGGCAAAACAACCCAGAAAACAAAACAGCAACGTGCCCTCCCAGAGGCAGGGAGGCCTGCAGTGAAGGAGCCAGAGCGCGTGTCAAGGGCCAGCTCCCGGTGTTGCTGTCTTCACGTGGGGGAGACAGCAGCCTCCCTGAGGTCTCCTTTAGGGGCATGAACCCCATTCAGGGGCAGACCCACGCCCTCTTCACCTCCTGCGGGTCACGCTGGGGCCGGGCTCCTGGTGAGATGCACTGGCCTGACGTGCACAGTGGCTCCCCCACCTTCCTTTCTCAGAGCCACTGGCCTATAGGTCACGACCCAGGAAGTCTTGTCCACCAGCTGGGCCCGGAAGTCTGGGCTTACTGGGCGCCTGTACAGTGTCCTGTCTCCACTGCCTTCTCAGGCCTCCTAGAAGCTGGGCCACGCAGGAGTGGCCAGGAATGGGGTCAGGGAGCCCGGGGAGAGGACAGGGTGCACAGGCCCGACTCTGGCAGGGCCCACAACTCAGGCCGACCGGACAGCAGGAGGCAGGCGCGGGCAGGGCTCGTCCCGTGCCACCCAGGCTGCCGCCAGCCTGGCAGCCCTACCAGCTCTCAGAGGTGACAGGCACGTAGGCGGGACACCCCTACTCCCCTCGGAGGAACGAGTGGCAGCACTGTCCACGTTTCTCAGGGTCACTCTCTTTTCTTTTTTAATTGGGAGAGGGTTATGCTACAAGCCAGACAGACAGAGAGAGACAGAGAGAGACAGAGACAGAAAGCGAGAAATCACCCCCAGGGGTTGTGGCCACCCCACAATCCTTTCTCCTCCATTCTCCTCTCGGGATCCTGGGCACGCACGCACACGTGCCCGGCGTGAGTTTAAGCCACCAAGTCCGGGACTTGTCGAACCGGTCAACTACATGGGAGTCCAGCAACATAGCCATTATGCTAACTGCTGGTCCCATTTCTTCCTCAAGTGAGAGAAGTGGTCTCGGTACCATGAGCCTCCAGGGCCAGCCTGGGTCACAGGTGCAGGTACGCCAGGAGGGTCCGGGACTGGACTCGGCAAGCCTCCAAGTGGGCTTGCCTGGCAGAGGGCCATGTTTCCCGGCGGGCCCCATCGGACCCTTGATGGTGTAACTCCTTCAGCGCCTACAGTGCTCCCTACTTACTGAAAACAGAAGGGGACTGCGACTCGCCTACAGACAAGGCTGCCCGAGAGTGTCAGCCAGCAGTGGTGTGACGGGTGGGTACCACACGGCGACTGCCGAGCTCAAGCCCCACACTCTGGCTTGAAACACTCAAGTGGGTGTGTCCATGTAACCAGGGCCCTGGGGGGGAGAGGACTGTGGAGCCATCACCTCTGTCCCCACCTTCTCTGTCTCTGGGGAACCCCTCCCCTCTACAGCAAACTGAAAATCAGTTAAGGCTTTCTGGAAACTTCCCGCCCAGCTGCTTCTGACAGGGACGCAGGTTTATGCATGGGCCCTAACCAAGCCTCGCTCCCTGCTTCCCCCTAGCCTCGAGCCCTGTGCCTGTAACCTGGTCCCTGAAGTCCTGCAGCTGCGCAAAGGTCCGTTTTTTTTTTTTTTTTCCCCTTTAGAGTTTTTTGTTATAGGGTGTGTGCACTTACCAGAGACAGAGACGGACACACAGAGACAGTAGTTGAGAAATCACCCCCCAGGGGGAATGGCCACGCCATGATCCTTCTCCTCCGTCCCCTCTCTCATCTTGGGCACGCACACACACGCGTCCAGCCTGAGTTTAAGCCCTGGGTCCTGGACTCGAACTGTGTACCGCGGTCAACTGCCTGGGAGTCCAGCGACGTAACCACCACGCCATCTGCTGGTCCCACGGATCACATTTTGAGAGCTCACGCAGACCGCCCAGACCCGGGCCCAGGCCCAGGCCAAGGCCAGGCCAGGCA